TCATCTGTCTTCTGGGGTTAGCAGCCAAACACTAAAAAAGAAAAAGGTGGGGTGGGTTGGGCTGAAGAAGATTTTGTGGGGGAGAAGCTAACTGGGAACACTGAAGAGGGGTGTACCTCCAAAATCTTAGCCCTGCTGAGGTATCCCACAGTAATGACTTAAGGAGAGAAGTGGGTGAGTCCTAAGGTCCTGTGGGAGGCAGAAGAACTAAAACAACAACAACAAAAAAAAAAAACAACAGTTTGTTCTCAGCAGGAGGGCCCTTGAGCAGTCTTGACAGCCCTTTAGAAATTTAGCAGTGACTCCAAAACTCCTTTCTCACAGCTGCATGTGTGCAGGCCTGGCTATTGGCATCCCTTCCCCAGAGCAGCAGGTGGTCCCTTGTTTTTGGCTGCAGTCCTGGTATCACACTTCAGCACATTGGGCAGACTTGCTAGGGATTCACAGGCTTTCCTTTTCACAACTGGATCCTTCTCCCCCGTTACCACAGTTACGGCCTATAACCTTCGTTCCCCAGGAAGCAAGGAGCTTGCCTAGCTCAGGAAGTCCCTTTCTTATCTCCTCATGAAAAAAAGTATGACAAACTTGTATTTCATTCCATGTGACTTAGGAGCCCTGTGAAAGTAGGAAAGCTAGTTCCAGAGCTTCAAAATGAGATGATAGTGGCCTCTTTCTCATATCGTTGTAAGGATTAATTGAAACAATTAATTGGCCTTGGACCTAGCATAAGTAACTCTTCAACAAATCAAATCTAATATTTTTAGTTGCTTTGTGGGCTTCGGTTTCCTGATCAGGAAAAATGAACATAATAATTTAAATTTCCTAATATTGTTATAATGACAAAATGAAATAATGTATGTACAGCAGTTTAGAATGATTCAACGACAGTTATAAAAATATACATTTCCTTGATTCTCTAAATCAGGCAATTTGTATTTAAGCTTTTAACCACCTACCTTATGGGGAATTTGATCTCAGATGTGTTTTGTGGTATTCTTTCTGTTCTCTCTTTCCCTAGTTAGGGGCTTGTAAACATCTCTGGGTGTTTTATGTTAGACAGGATATCTGGAACAGGCCTTTGGTCTTCAGGCCATGCTGATTATGCTGGTATGGGTCTTGTTCAAGCCTGCGTACCCTTAGGGGACATGCTCTGAGATTCCAGTGTCTACTCCACCATAGTGACCATTCTCCAATTTCCAAAGTCTTAACTCTGAGTGTTCCCTATTCTGGGTCCTCTGTGGAAGTGGATTCCAGGCTGCTTTCCTCCCCAGAGACCTCTGTGATACACAATTTTGGCTCTATTACCTTTGCCTTCTGGTGTTATTCTTGTGAATATAGCAAAAGGGAATTTGCAGATGTAATTGAGGTTAATAATTAGCTGGCCTTAAAATGGGGAGATTATCTTGGTTTATTCAGATAGACCTAAACTAATCAGATGAACCCTAAAGATCTTTCTCTTGTACTAAAAGGAGAAGTGAAAAAAATGAGAAAGATTTAATATGCCTTTGTTGTCTTGAAGATGAAGGGGACTTGTATCAAGGACACAATCAAAAGGTTCTGAATTCTGCCAGCAGTTTGAATGAGCTTAAAGCAGATTGTTCCCCAGAGCCCCCAGTTAAGGGCTCAACCCAGCTGACACCTTGATTTTGGTCTTGGGAGGCTCTTAGCAAAGCCTGGTTTTCTGACTCAGAATAGCAAGATAATAAATGGGTGGTGTTTTAAGTTGTTAAATTTGTATAATATGTTAAAACAGAAAAAAAAGCCTAATATTTAAGAATCCCATTTATTTTCTCCTCTTATCCATCTTTTCCTTCTTCTTCTTTTGAAGTATTGGAAAATGAATGTAGGAGTTCTCTACCATTGAGCTATATCACTAGTTGTTTAAATTTTTATTTTGAGACGATCCCAAATTTACGGAGGCTGGACTCAAACTTGGATCTTTCTGCCTCAGTCTTCAGAATAGTGGGATTATAGGTATGTACCACTATGACTGACCCCCATTTCTTTGCTTAGTCTTGGCAAATCTTCCCTATTTAGGCCCAGAAGCTTCCATTTCTTCAACTCTAACCCCTTTCAGACTGTGAACAATTTACCTCTAAGTGAATTGTTTGTCAAAACTTAGGATCCCTAGTCATAAAACAGTCTAAGACAGAGTTTCTGACAATTTCTGTCTTGGACCTTCCCATACCAAAAAACAAAAAACAAAAAACAAACTTTTAAGTTTAGGTAGGGATATAAAGATTTAGGTAACTTCTTTGAGAGGTGGAGGTATAAAATGTTCAAAGCCCAAAATGACTATTTCAATAAAAATTTCTTGCTACATATGTAAGTACTTAGCCTAGTGCATGATACACATTAATATTCTTTAGACCAGAAAATATTTATTATTTTGTTATTTCAGGAACATAAGATTTTGTTCATTTCTGCCCACCCTGAACTTACTTTATCCAGCTTGATTTCCAAAATATTGTCTTTAACAAAGTGATGGAAACTATTCCTTAACTGGAGGACCCCAGTATGGAATTGCTGACATTCAAGATGTCTTACGCATAGTGGTTCCACTATAGAGAATCTGATCTTGACAGATGTGGTAGTGCATACCTGTAGTCCCAGCAACTTGGGAGGCTGAGGCAGGAGGATCAGCAACTTGGTGAGACTCTGTCTCAAAATAAAAAATAAAAAAGACTGGGTATGTGGCTAAGTGGTTAAGCACCCTGGGTTCAATCTTGGGTACCAAAAAAGAAAAAGAAAAATAATAATAAAAAAAGAGGGCTGGGATTGTGGCTGAGTGGCAGAGCACTTGCCTTGTACATGTGAGGCACTGGGTTTGATCCTCAGCATCACATGAAAAATGAATAAATCAAATAAAGATATTGTGTCTATCTACAACTAAAAAAATTCTTTAAAAAAATAATAATAAAAAAGAAACAAGAAACTGATCCCCTCATCTGGAATAGCAGAGGCAGAGCAAAATACATATCTGACTCTGGAAGAATTTTGCTTCTGCATCCAAATTATGCACGGTAGTCAGTTATCACCCCTACTCTACAACAGACCAGGATTCTATAGGGGGGGAGTGATCACTTGTTCTAATAGAGCCTGCACATTGTATTATGTCAACAAAAAGCTTACTCTGAGTTCCCTAATCCATCTGGTACCACCAATATGGTCTTTACTGCATACCCACCCATTCCACTTCAACATGATTTGAGGACAGAGATGGTAGAAAACCCTCTTGAAAGAAGGTCAAAGGTTATGTTTTCTCTCATATATGGAAACTAGAGAAGAAAAAAAGAAAAGATAGATGCGGGCCGGGTGAGGGTTATGGTTTAGACATTAGGAGTGTCCCAAAAGCTCACATGTGAAATGATACAAGAAAGTTTAGAGGTAAAATGATTTGGGTTACAAGAATCTTAATGTAATCAGTGCATTTGTCCCCTGATAGGGATTAACTGGGTAGAAATAATAGGTAGGTAGGGTGTGGCTGGAGGAGATGTTGCTGGGGGTGTGCCTTTGGGGTATATATTTTGTCCTTGTTGAGCAGAGCTCGCTCTCTGCTTCTTGGTGGTCATGTTCTAACCTGTTTTCCTCCACCACAATCTTCTGCCATGTTCTGCTTCATCTCAGGCCTACAGCAATGGAGCCAGCCATCTACGGACTGAGACCTCGGAAACCCTGAGCCCCCAAATAAACTTTTCCTCCTTAAAATTGTTCTTGTAAGGTTTTTTTGGTCACAGCAGTGAAAAAGCTGACTAAAACAGGGTTTAAGGATCTCAAGAAAATCAAAAGGAGATCAGTAGAGGAAAGGGACCGGGGGTGGAAGTAAGGGGAGGAGGGGCAAGTGCTGGAGAGTGATATTGGCCAAATTATATTGTTATATTTTGTGCATGTACAAATATGTAACAAAAATCCCATCAATACGTTCAACTATAATGCACCAATAAAAATATGGAAAAACATTAAAATCTCCTAAGAAACTGACACACACCTTCTTCCAATTTTGGACTCTATGTGCTTCAATTCTCTTCACTTTGATTTGCAAATATTTATATACCTATATGCCAGGCATGGTTTGGGCCATGGGAATACAAAGATGAACAAGACAGACCTAGGGCCAGACTTATGAATTTTATTATTTTGTGAAGAAAATCACAAAATACCTGCATATTTTAAAATGATTTGAAGTACAATGACCCTAATAATCTCTCATGATAGTAGAAATTTACTGCTCAGTTATACCTATAAGTCAAGCCCCAGATTCATTTTAATATATCTCCTGGCATAGCTCAAACCTGAAGACTGGCCTATCCTGGAGGAGCTGAAGTGGTGAGCCAGGGTGAATGTGATTCAGAGCTGATATCAGACTTCTCTGTAGACTCAATGCCTTTCCAGCCCCAAACCAGCAGCCCTCCTTCCAAGCACACCAAGTTACTCCAAAACTCCCAACACACTCATCTCTAATTTTCCCTATGATGTTCCACTGTACCTAGTCTCTACTCTCTATCCTATATTTGTGAATACCATGCAATGTAGGAGGGTTGGATTTCTGCTGGCTCCAAGGCTATGTCCCTGGCTATTCCCTATCCAACCAACTGGTTGGATAGGGAATAGCCAGGGACAGGTTCTGGGAACTATTTCTCCCTTGGAAACAGCCCTGAACACAGGGAAGACCTGGATCCAGATTCTAGGATTGGTCCAGAAGAAGGAAAAAACAGAGTTATATAGTCTGGCTCACTAAACTAGATCAAACCCCTTAGAGCTCACAGAGTTGAGGACATACACTATGGTGTGGAATGCAATGACCAGCATATGATATGAATATATCTATGAAAGCATGTGCACACCTGTTAGCAATGTCATGTATAAGATGACTTTTCTTTACCTCAGTACTCTATTCTTTTGAACACACCTGTGCTCCTCACCCCTGTGACTCAGAATTCAGACAGAATTCATCCTGGCCCACCACTGGCTTTGCCTTTTACTTTTAGTCCCATAAATGCTTATGAGGAGGCAAATACTTTATTGAAGTGCAATTTGCAGGGTACATTTGCAAACCACCCATATGGGGAGCATTCAAAGGACATCTTGGAACACCAAGGCTCTGGGTGCACTTTTATGTTTTCACAAGCAATGTACACATCTGTATGCAGTATCTCTGTGTCTGTTGGTGTATGACTGTCAGCATATGTTTAGGGGGTACATGGCTGAATGTGCTTATGTGATGTGATATAACTTATATCTATGCTTATGAAAAAGCATTGTGTGCTCTGAGAATGGGAATTCTAGAGCATATTCTATGGAATATATAATGTTGGGTCAGTGTGTGTGTGTGTGTGTGTGTGCCCGTGCATGTGCACGCATACGCTGCTGAGTTGGGGGATGAATGTGTGTTATACCCCTACATCTCTAGCTGGGCACCTACAAATCAATTCACTCCCGTCTCTGTGAACTAGCAAATAAGATGGCTGTTTTTGCAGGCAGGCTTTCCTACAATTCTTGGAAGGTGGGTATCCAGGGGACAGAGATGGAATCATTCTGGTCCTGAGGGTCTCTCCTGGCTGGCCCTTCCCCCTCTGTCCTTGGAAGTTCCTTCCCCAGGCTCGCCTTCATCATCAGCCTCAGTCAAGTCCTCAGGAATTGGCCACTCTCTGGTCTGCCACTCCAGCCGTTCAATACGGTAAGCAATCTTGAGTGCACTGGATTCCAGCTCAGCCAGTAGGCGAGCAAACTTGGTCTGTAGATCATCAAGCTGTTGATCAAGGTTTCTCAGCCGGGACTCTGTGGCCTCCTGTAGGGCAATCTCAGCTGCCTCAGCATTTACATCCAACTTGTTCAGTTTCAGCAGGATCTCACGGCCCTTCTCCTCCATGACAGCCTGGGCTTGTGGATACTCACTCAACACCTCTCGGAGGTCCTCCTTGCTGAGACAGAACAGGTCTGAATAACCGAGGCTCTTAATGTTGGCTGTGCGACGGTTTCCGGACATGTTCCCTGTGGCCCGTGGGTGGACAGAAGGGAGGATAGTTAGCAGGGATGTGGGAAGGTACCATTTCACTCCTGAACTAGGATTCCCCCCTCCAATTCTGCCTAATTCTTTCATTCAATAATGTACTGGGGACCAGACTCTGTGCTGGTTGGGTATCAGTGACATGCCTCAAAATTCATGATCTAGAGGAGAAAGACATTTAATGGGATAGTTATATAACAGTATGGTTGGTGCAGTGTAGACATATGCATTAGGTACTACGGGAAGACAGGCAAAGAGCCCTTGTCAAGCTGTAAGGCAGAGAATTTAAGGAAGCCTGGAGGAAGAAATGCCTGAACTGGGTAGGAGGTAATTAGGGGAAATAGGGAATTGAGTGGGAGGAGAGCAATCTAACCAGAAGGAGGAGCAAGAATAGAGAGATGGGCAAATTACCAAACTTCTCTAAGCTTCAATTTCCTTATCTTCAAAATGAGAGAAGATCAGTTCCTACCTTATACAGCTGTGTGAGAATTTGAACTGATGCATGATAAACACTTAGAGCAGGGGATGTATTAAGTATGAGATAAACTTCATTATTACTATTACCTCCATCATTTTCCAATGGTCTGTTGGTGCCTCAGTCAGTATCCATAAAGTATGCTTACTCTCTCTTCTAAGGACCCACCCTGCCAATTGACCTAGGCTCAGTTTCTTCTCAGTGTCCAGCTTCTCTCCTGAGCCCTGTAGTGACTCAGGAAGGGGTGAAGTTTCCTTCATCTAAATGTGCCCTGAAGTACCATCTTGCTCCAGCACAGAGTTCTGCTATCCCATTCTTTTTCTCAACTCTGTTCCTGGAAAAAATGCTGGGGTACCCACCTTTGATGTTGATGATACTGATCTCCCCAAAGTAGAGCCCTGCACCAAGCACAGCATACTGTGTGACACCATCATCTGCCACGACAGCCAGTTGACCCTCGCGGATGATGTACATCTCTCTGCCAATGTCCCCCTTGCGGCATACATATTCGCCTGGTGAGTAGGTCTGCGGTTGCAGCTTTAGCACAAGTTCCTCCAGCAAGCTGGCCTCACAGTTCTGGAAGATCTGTACCCGGCTCAGAGTAGACAGGTGTACGGACACAGCCACTTCTGCTCGCAGCCGCTCAGGCAAATGCTGTAAGATGGCTACCTCATTGGTCATCTTCTTGTTGATCTGCAGGTGCTGGTACCTGGGAGAAAGGGTAGTGCCATTTCCTCACTAGCCTGTCTCTACCCCTTTCATTAGGGCTTAGATCTGCCAAGATCTCAACCACACTCAGGTCTTGCAGAGGTCATGGAAGAACCTCGTAGTTGGCTAATATCCTTTCTTGGTTATAGATGTGTTTTGGTCTCTTTGACCTCACCCAAGGTACGGATGCCTCCACTACTTGACAATGAGTACCACACTGTTTACTTTCTGTCAGTCTCCATCCCACCCATGATCAATGTTTAGTATCTCCTCCACTGATAGCTACTTCAGTCACCAAGCTCCCATCTTCTCTGAGAGCCTTCTCTCTGACTCACCAATTTTGTGGCACTTATTTTTGTTTAGAACACAGTATGACTTACCATGATACAGTCAATCATCTTGTTGGTCTTCTGCTGGTGAGGGTGGTATTGCCCTTCTCCACTCACTCTTTCTAGAGCCTTTTAAGCCCTACCAGACAGTGGGCGGCTCCCATTCCCTGGTTACCATGTTGTCCTTCTTTTTGCATGAGTTCCTCTTCCTATCAGTCTCTTACCCACCCTCTCTCCAGGTTAGATTCCCTCTGAGGAGGACACTTCTTTCCAAGCCCTCCAGCAGACTTACTAATGAATGACCAATTTAGACCCTCTCAGCTCAGTCAGTGAGTGGCCCCCCACCCCCCACCCTGTTCTGCCAGCACACTCCTCCCTCTACTGGTGTGGAACCCAGGCATTCTCACCAATCTATAACTCGCCGCTCCAGCCGCCGGTTGACATGGTGCAGCTTCATGTACTTCTTCACCAGGGCGTGATCTGGGTAGAAAGCCGCATCTGCGGTGTTCATGTTGTAGATTACAGAGCTCATGCTACCCATGATGGTGGCGAAACCCATGACGGCCAGTAGGAAATCGCCCACCATGAAGAGGTACTCCTCCTCCCGGGCTGGCAGTGGTGTATCGCCCACGGTTGTCAGGATCAGTGTGGAGAAGTAAAAGCTGTAAAGGTACTGGCGCCGCAAGCGTTCAAAACCAGGCCGCGCTGGGTCTGGGTACACCCATGCGTCACGCCCGAAGCCCAGGTACCGGGATAGTGCAAAGTATAAACAGCTGTTCCAATGGATGACGACAAAAATGTAAAGCATCAACTTGGCGATGCGAAAGGCGTTTGGGTAAGCTGTGCGGGTCTCTGTGCGGTCGAAGGCCTCGAAAAGGCGAGGCACACGAAGAAAGCGGTTGAGCCTCAGCGTGGGTATGTGTGGGCCCAGTTGCACGTAGACAGCATCAGTGGGGATGAGTGAAGCCAGGTCCAACAGGAAGCTCCAGGTGCGGACATAGCGACTCGCGATTCTACCCTTGTCAACCACCAGGATACCCTGTTCTAAGAAGCCTAGGGGAGGGAAGAGAGGGATGCACTGAGATCAACCGCAGGTGAGGGTGGGCAGGCCAGGGATACAAACACAGGGACAGGGTGGAGGTGAGCATCACCCTCTTCAGGTTTTCTGGAGTGAGCAAGGAGATATTGTCAAGCACAGAGAGACACATGTGAAAGTGCTACCACTGAGGGGACCCTGTTCTTTCTGCTATGAGGGGCTTTCTTTGGGAAGGGAACATGAAACCAAGGGTCAGTTCTAGGGGCTCACTGACCCGTGTGGAAGCGCACTATGATGTCTAGAAGGTAGAGCAGGTCACTCGTGTAGTCCAGCACGAACCAGGCCAATAGATAACCATGTTGCAAGTCAGGAAAGCAGGCTCTGAGAGGTGGTGCGAAGGGAGGAGAGAGGATTGGCTTAAAGGCCAAGCTGAGTAAGGCGGTTCAAGCTGGGGCCCCTAAATACTATTCTGCCTTGGGCCCTACAATGGGTGCTGCCCCTCCTTTAGGCCCCGCCCAAATGCCCACCGCTCTACTTCATCCCTACTTAAGGCCTCTGTTTTAGCGCCCCTGCCAAACCTGCACACGATGATGATGAGGTTATACATTACTGGGAAGACCATTGTGTTCAACCACCAGTAGTAGTAATCCCCAGATGGATCCAAGACAGGCAGCTTCTTCCTGTGGGCAAAAGGAGAGATCCTGCCTCATGTGTTCAGCAGACATTTCATAGTTGCTACGAAGAGGAATGAGGTTCATTTGGAGTGAGGTGGATAGATCTGACACAAAGGACCAGAACTCCTCACCTGGTTTTGGATGGGGCAGGTGGGCTGGATTCTGTAGTCTTCATTTTGCTGTCTTGGCTCATGGTTCTGTAGCCTGGTGCTGGCTTGTGCAATATCCAGGGCCTCTCTGCCTGTAGGTGGCTTGTGGAGGAGGGGGCTATTGCCTGACTGTGTGGAAGAGGCTGTCCTTGAGCTCTAGCTGTGACTTCTGCTCTTAGCAACACAATCAGGGCTAACAGTTACTGAAGGGTGGAGGCAGTGTAGCTCCAGCGACCCGCCCCGTCTCCCAGGGCTTAGGCTTACACCTTCCCAGCTAAACACCTTTAATGAGGTCCCTGGAGAAAATGGGTGTGTGTGCCTCAGAAAGAATCCTATACCTTATTTCTTTCTCCTTTGTCTTAACCCCAGCTTGAGCTACATAGGGACTCTCTAGATCAGGAGACCTGGGTTTTTTATTGTAGGTTCATACACTATTTTACCTTGTTAAAATTCTCTGCTTGGGTCTCATTATTTACTTATTTAACAACTATTTGCTGAGTGACTCCTCTGTGTCAGGTGCTATACTAATCTCCAGAGACAAAGAGATGCCTCTCACATCAGTTGTGAGCTCTGCTTTTCTTATCTGTACCCTTTCCTACTGCCACATCTACTTAAGCTCCTTCCTGCTGGATGATGTGATGGGGGCCATCTTATGGGACTCTTTCCCCTGTTCCTTTCCTATTATCTCCAGTGCCTAATGCCACTAGCTTCCAACATTTCTCTTTCTGTGAACATGCTTAAATTTCTCCCATACCAAAATAACAACCCTATTAATTCTCCCTGAACCCGATGTCCCTTTCAGTACTATCATCTTTCTCAGTCAACAAGTCATGATCAGAACTCCTGTTATGTGTCAGGCCAATATTGTGTTAAGTATTGGGGATAAAAAAAATGAATGGGACATACTCTCTGTCCTCTAGAAAGTTAAGTGGCTACACAGAAAGCTGTTATTGTACATAAGAAAGTTCCTAATTGAGTTGGGATCTGTAGGATGAACAGGAGTTAGATATAGAGTTGGGAGGGTGAAGAGCACCAAAGCAGAGTACATAAAGTATGCAAAGACATAGAAACATCAAAATCATTGTGACTAGGAGAATACCAATCTAATGTTTTTATTTTTTAAAGAGGACCTGTGGGGATAATGGTGAGAGAAGAGACCGAGTAAAGAGGCAGCTCAGGGAGTTTTATCAGACATGTTACAAAGCTTGAATTTTACCCAAAGGCAATGGGTGACCAGGGTCAGATTTGTGTTTTTTTCCTTCATTTATATTTTGAAATCCCTTCTCCCCATAGCTTCTGTAATAGAATAATTTCTTGGTTTTCTGTTTACTTCTCCTTAGTCTATTTCACAAGCTTCTCTGCCCATTTCTTCTAAATTGGTGTTTTTTTAGGACACTGTTCTAGGCCTTCTTCTCTTTCTACTTGCTTTACCATTTCAGGTGGATCTTAGAATTTCCCACAGAATTTCCTTTGACATCTAATGACTCTCAAGAATTTTCCCTGTGCCAGGCATGGTGGCCCATGCCTATAATCCAGCAACTTGGGAGGCTGAGGCAGGAGGGTTGCAAGTTTGAAGCCATCCTTAGCAACTTGGCAAGACCCAATCTTATCTTATAATAATACTAATAATACTATTATTAGTATTATTATTGAAGAAAGGGGCGTTTAAAAATTGAGCCACATCTGTAGCCTTTTTTTTTTTTTTTTGTATTTTATTTAGAGACAGGGTCTCACTGAATTGCTTAGGGCCTTGCTAAGTTGTTGAGGCTGGCTTTGAACTTGAGATTCTCCTGCCTCAGCCTCCCGAACTGCTGGGATTACTGGTGTGCGCCACCATAACTGATGGCAAGACCCTATCTTAAAAAAAAGAAAAACAAAAGATGTAACTCAATGATAAAGCACCCTTGGGTTAAAGCATCCCAGTGCAACAAAACAAAACAAACAAAACAAAAAATAAACAAAAATTCTTCCTAAGCTTCAGTTATTTATATAATTAACTACTTACTGAATGTCCTCACTTGGATATATCATAGTCACTTTCAAACTACTGGATCTACCCATTTACTCTTTTCCCTATAATCCCTATCTCTTTGTCCTTTAAGCCAAAGACCTAGAACAATTATTTATTATTATTATTGTAATACATTGTACAAGGGCAGTTGAAAAATGGCCACAAATTCTTTCACAATGCTCTCTGGAGATTATTTCAACTGAGGGAGTATAGCAAGAGTATGGGGTGTGACTTCTGAGGTTAGATAATAAAAAGTCACGTGGCTGCTTTCTGGATCTTTTGAAATACTTGTTGTTTGGTAGCTTCCTCTCAGAAATCTCTCTCTTGGAACCCAATTATCACATTGTAAGAAGCTGTGCTTGATAGTGCCAGTTGAGTTCAGCCTTTGAATTGTCCCAGCCCAGGCATTACACATGTGACTGATAAAAACTCTAGATAATTCCAGCTACCAGCCTCAAGTCAGCTTCAGGCATTTGGACTTCTAGATGAGGCTACAGACAGCATGGAGCAGATACAAGCCATTCCTGCCATGTTTTATTAGAATTCTCAGTTTCTGTAAGCATAATAAAATGGCTACTGTTTTATGACACTAAGTTTTGGGTGGTTCATTTCCCAGCATAACAGCCACAACAAATAAACATATAGAAAAGTGCACATTTCCTAAGGATATAGCTTGATAAGTTTTCACAATGTGAACACAACCACGTAACTAGCACTTAGATCAAGAAACAGAACATCACTAATCTCAGGAGTCATAGTTTGTCCACTTCTAATCAATACTTTTCCAAGGCTATTTATTACCCTGACTTTTTATACCTTAGCTAAGTTTTACCTAGTTTTGAATTTATATAAGCTATCAGTATTTAATCCTTCTTCTTTCCTTTCAGATGAACCTAATCATCAACTTGTCTTTTTAAAAAATCTTTTTAGTTGTAGATGGAACACAATACTTTAATTTTATTTGTTTTTTTATGTGGTGCTGAGGACCAGAACCAATGCCTCACATGTGGGAGCAAGCACTCTACCACTGATCCACAACCCCAGCCCTCTCATCAAGCTTTTCTAATGTCCACATATCCACTACTCTGCATTCTTATCACACTACTTTGGGCCTTATTAGCTCTTGACTGACCTTTTACAAAGATTCCCTTACTATCAATCTGACCATACATAAAACTGTGTTTAATTCTCTATTGTCCCAAGGATAAAAATCAAAATTTCCACAGGGCCTGTAAAACTCTCCTGTACCTCACATTTATTCCTGTCTTTAACCTCATTTAACCTTTCCTCTGCATGTTGCCTAGGCTCTGGACACACTGTACTGATTGTTCAGAACACCTTCCACTTCTCTATTCTGCCTTGCCTGGGTATATGCTGGTCCTTTTGGCTGAAACTTCCATTTCTTCTTCTTCTTTTTCTTTTCTTTTGAAAGACCTTTAGTTTTGGACTAATTTCAGAGTTTTAGAAAAGATGCAAAAATAATACAGAACGTTGTAAACTCCTTATCCACATTCCCCTAATGTCATCATCTTACAGAAATCTAGAAAAATGATCAAAACCAGATAATTAACATTGGCACAGTTTTGAACTACAGTCCTGATTTGAAACTTCAGCTTCTCTAAGTTTTTCTTGTTTCCCAAGACTCAGCTCAGTATCTCCTACTGGAAGTCTTCCCTAAGCCCTTTCACCCTTCCTTCCGCCCATCCTCTGCATGCCCAAATCATCATGATAAGTGCTGTCCCAGATGTTTCTTCGAATATAGCACTTTTCGCACTACTTTGCGATAGTTTGTGTCTAGTTAAGGGTCTGAGGTCCTGGAGGGCAGAGATCTATTCTAATGGATCTGGAATCCAGCTTGACATGTAGGCACTTATTTCATGTTCCTTGGCTGACTGAAACAGCACCCAAAGGGTCACCGAGCAACACAATGCATAGGTGTTGTGGGTGACTGGCAGAGGTGGTAAAATGTTCTAGTTCCTTTGCATTCAGCATTCTCCAGGGGTCCGCTTTTCACAGGTCCCGCCCACCTACTGACTCCTCCCCCAGGCCTAACCTTTAGGACTAGTCACGCCCTTCCACGCCCACTTGTTCACTCTAAGCACCTCCCAGTATCCGTGGCTACGCTCCTTGGCCCTAGTCTTTTCCAGCCCATCCCACTCCTAAATCCCGCCTTGCTGGTCTTTTCCCTGCCTCTAAAAGTCCTGTCACTCCTTAGGTCCTGCCTTCTGCCCTCGGGTTCGACCTTTCCTTCCCAGGCTCCGCCCCCGTCCTGCACCTCTCCAGAGGTCTGCCCCTATGATATGCTGGAGTCCTTCTGAGGGGCGGGGTTTACAGTGCGAAGGGGCGGGACCTGGAAGAGAAGCGGCACTCCTTCCTCGGAACGTCGTCTGCCTCCCCGCCCCTGCGTTCGACCGTTGCCAGGAAACAAGAGTCAACGCTCTGTTTTTGGCCGGGCCCAGCCAATGAGCTGGCACGCCATTGCCCAGTTGTGCGTCGCTGGGCGGTTACGTGTGGTGCGCGGGGGCGCGGGATGCGTGTGGCGCGGGGCGGGGCGCGGCTAGTGCGCCTGAGGAACGATGGCGGCGGCCTGAACTCACCTAGTACCGCCGCGACGACAGGGCCTGGCCGGAGTCGGCGTTGTGTGAGTGAAGAGTATACGCAGACCGGAGGGCCCAGAGAGTCGCATGAGGGAATGAGGGACTGGGGAATGGTGGCACCGAATTTGGTGACTGTTGGTTGTGAGGGGACAGGGCGAGGGGTTGGCAGGTGGTGAGGGGCTAATGAGTGGGAAGGCAGGGTAGCAGGGTGAGAAACTAGGGATCAATGGACGAGTAAGAGGCTGGTTATGTGAGAGGAGGGGAAGTTTTATGAAGGGACAAGTTGAAGGAACTCATGAAAACGATTTACTAAGAGGCTGGGTCTCCTGAGGGCAAGGGGGAGGGACAGTCCTGGGACCAGAGTGAGTGGCAGGGCTTGTGCAAGGAGTGGGAGAGTAAAGGGCGAAGGCGGGACCCTTGGGGATGGCAGTGAATTGACGAGGGAGCTGAAGGCAGGGCAAGGGAGGAGGGAATGAAGGTGATGAGACGTGGATATGGGTGTGAGGTGGTTGGTTCTGTGGCCTCCTTGGATGGACCGTCCT